AAAAAAAAAAAAAAGAACCCTGAAGAAATAGATGATTTTTTTATTACAAAGAGCACATATATCTACATCCATATATTGAAATATCTATATATAAGTATTATATAAATGATATAATACACATATAATTTAAACAGGAAAAAATATGATAGAAAAAGTAAAGATGGTAAAGAGATACCCTTCAAATAATGCACTATACCCAAGTAAACTCCCAGGAGAATTCTATAAAATATTTAAGGACCAGACAACACTAAAGCAGTGTAAATTGTTCCAGACACATTTATGCTATGAAGGAAGCTGAGATAATCTGAGGGTGAGTAAATTTGTTGAAAACACTTTGCGGGCCTAACCAGATCATTCTGTGAAAGGGTAATCAGACACGATGAGAAATATGCGAGTCTATTCTACAGCTGAGATACTGCCACATTTTTTCACATCCAACATATCCATAGGATTTCTGTTCAATGTGAGTTTTCCCATTCATGATGTGGTCTGAGTTGGCCTTCCCACAACCATTACATATATAAGGTTTCTTCTTTAGTGGGATTCTGATGTCCAGTGAGGTATGCATGCTGGAAGAAGGCCTTCCCAGGGTCACTGCATTTGGAGAGTGTCTCCCCAGTGTGTATTCTCCAATATGTGATCATCTGTGACTTGGGGGGAAAGGCCATCTGATACTCAGCACATTCAGAGAGTTTTTCCCTACTATGGATTCTCTGATGGATAATGAGTGGAGATTTCTCACAGGAGGCCTTTCCACATTTGCTACATTCATGTGGTTCCTCTCCAGTATGAGCTCTCTGATGTACAATGAGATGTGACTTCAGGGGAAAGGCCCTTCCACATTCAGTACATTCATAGGGTTTCTCTCCGGTGTGAATTCTCTGATGAATAATGAGGGATGATTTCTGGGAGAAGGTTTTGCCACATTCTCTACACTCATAGGGTTTCTCCACTGTATGAATTCTCTGGTGTATAATAAGAAGTGATTTCTGAGAGAAGAATTTTCCACATTCAGTGCACATGTAAGGTTTTTCTCCAGTATGAAGTCTTTGATGGCCGGTGAGATGTGACTTCTGGGAAAAGGCCTTCCCACAGTCGGTACACATATAAGGTTTCTCTCCTGTATGAATTCTTTGATGTCCTCTGAGGTGGGACTGCTGGCACAAGTCTTTCCCACATTCATTACACTTAAAAGGTTTTTCTCCAGTATGCGTTCTCTGATGTATAATGAGCTGTGTTTTCTGAGGGAAAGTCTTCCCACATTCAACACATTCATAGGGTTTCTTCCCAGTATGAGCTATCCGGTATATACAAAGGTGAGATTTCTCACAGATTTTCCCACATTCACTACATTCAAAGGGCTTCTCTCTGTTATGAACTCACTGATATATATGATGAGATGTGACTTCTGGGAGAAGGTTATTGGACATTCAAAACATTCATATGGTTTCTCTCCAGTATGGACTCTCTGATGAACAATGAAGGGTGACTTCTGGGAGAAGGCCCTTCCACACACAGTACATTCATAGGGTTTCTCCCCAGTATGAATCCTATGATGAACAGCGAGATGTGATTTCTCACTAAAGGCTTTCCCACAATTTCCACATACATATGGTTTCTCTCCAGTATTAAATTTATTGATGTATAAAAAGCTGCGACTTCTTTTTTTTTTTTTTAAGACAGAGCCTCAAGCTATCCCCCTGGGTAGAGTGCTGTGGCATCGTAGCTCACAGCAACCTCCAACTCCCGGGCTCAAGCGAGTCTCCTGCCTCAGCCTCCCAGGTAGCTGGGACCACAGGCACCCGCCACAACGCCCGGCTATTTTTTGGTTGCAGCCATCATTGTTGTTTGGCAGGCCTGGGCTGGATTCAAACCCGCCACCTTAGGTGTATGTGGCTGGCACCTTAGCCACTGGAGCCACAGGCACGGAGCCAAGCTGTGACTTCTTGATAAAACCCTTCCCACACACACTACAAACATTGACTTTTTCTCTGGCTTGAACTTTCTTATACTGAATATGGGCTTGCTTATTATGAAGAACTTTTTCACATACACTATCTCCACAGGGCTTCATTCCAGTATGAATGAAGCTTTCATTCTCAGGCACAGAACAGAAAGCACTATAGCTAGGTGGTCTTCCCATCCAAATCTCTCAATGGGGTTCTTTCTTGCATAGCTGCTATTACAATTTAGTGAGTCCAAATTAGATTTTAAGCTCTTTTTACATGAATCAAAATTATAGAGTTTTTTACCCAAAGGATCAAGGTCTGTGCACCCATTGAACATTTTTCCAAACTCCTCAGTCAATGGTTCATGGCTGATGACTGTGAACTCCCTCAAAACTCCATCTTTGTTTCCTTCATAACTATCTAGAGTATCACTATGCCAGGCTTTTAAAATGGAATATAACAAGTTATCCTTTGGGGATCTTTGCATTATCTCCCTTTGACATGAAAGTTCTCCACAAATGATCTGCTGGAAAGATTCAAGGCCTTTCTCCCTGTTTTAAAGAAGAAAGAGGTAAAATCAAACACACACATCCACAAATAGTTGGCAATGGACAGAAGTTCTAGGAAGTGGTTGTTGTAGGATGCATGTTATAAAAGAGGCCTGGTAAGTTTTTTTTGTTGTTTGTTTGAGACAGAGTCTCACTGTGTTGTCCTCAGTAGAGGGTCATGGCATCACAGCTCACAGCAACCTCCAACTCCTGGGTTTCAGGGATTCTCTTGCCTCAGCTTCCCAAGTAGCTGGGACTATAGGTGCCCTCCACAATGCCTGGCTATTTTTTGTTGCAGTTGCCACTGCTGTTTTAGCTGGCCAGGGCCAGGTTTGAACCCACCACCCCTGGTATATGGGGCCAGCGCCCTACTCACTGAGCCACAGGTGCCACCCAAGGTCTGGTAAGTTTTAAGAAAGGAGGCCATTGGGGCGGTGCCTGTGGTTCAAAGGAGTAGGGCGCTGGCCCCATATGCTGGAGGTGGTAGGTTCAAACTCAGCCCCGGCCAAAAACTGCAAAAAAAAAAAAAAAGGAAGAAGAAAGGAGGCCATCAATATCAGAGAAGAAGCAGCAGCCCTTTTGACCACCTATCCAGTACTCACTTACCTGGGTAGATCCACCTGGACAACTCACTTTCTGTAATCCACAGGGCTTCTCCATGTTCCTGGTTTTATACCTGAACACCCTGTTAAGAGAAAATTATAATGGCCTTGGCCTTAGCAGCTCAGAAATTCATGAAAAGAAGCAATTTCAGGGCCTCCTAGCAAAGACAAATCCTTAACTCACACCAAATACAAAAATAAATTCCAGATATAACAAAAATACAAACCCGAAAAACTAAAACTATAAGAGAAAACACTCAAAGGGAAAATCCACAGGGCTTCTCCATGCACCTGGTTTTATACCTGAACACCCTGTTAAGAGAAAATTATAATGGCCTTGGCCTTAGCAGCTCAGAAATTCATGAAAAGAAGCAATTTCAGGGCCTCCTAGCAAAGACAAATCCTTAACTCACACCAAATACAAAAATAAATTCCAGATATAACAAAAATACAAACCTGAAAAACTAAAACTATAAGAGAAAACACTCAAAGGGAAAATCATAAATGTTATGGACTTGACAGCTCTGAAGGAATGATGAGGAGAATTTGATTCATGGGTATGTAGGAGTCTGCTCTTACCCACAGAGACCAGATGACAGCAGGTATCCAGCATCACATCCCTGTGAAGGGTCTTCCGAGCTGGGTCCAAATGCTGCCACTCTTCTTGGGTGAAGTCCACAACCACATCCTCAATTGTCACTGGTTCCTATAATAGCACACACTCCTGTACAATCTGTTCATGCTGATCATTTTCACCACAGCAATACATGTAGGCTGCCTACTTTGTACCTTGTGTGGTGGACTTTATGAAAGAGACAATGTGAAATCCTCCCATTAGCAGGAATAGTTAGTGGAACAGAGCAGAGAGTCTAGAAATAGATGCAAATAAAAATGGGAAATGTAACATACAATATACATAGCATTATAAATCAATGTGTAAAAAATAGATTATTCAAAACTAAAGAGCTATCAGAAAAAAATTGTAATGTTGAGTTTCCTACCTCATAGTATACAGGAAAATAAATTTACGATATCACAAAATTTTAAACAAAGAAAAAGAGAAACTATAAAGTTTCAGGAGAGGTTTATAAAAATAATTTTAGAATGGAGAAGGTTCTTCTAAGCATGCTGCAAAACCCAAATGCCACAAAGGAAAACAAGGACAAATTTGACTACTTTTATGTATTGCATGGCCAAATATATCATACACAAACTCAAAGTACATGACTAACAGAGAAAGAGATATATACACACATTAACATATGTATGATGTACAAAGAACTAATTTCCTTAATGAAGCAAGAATAAACAAGGCCAAAGAGGCTCGGTGCCTGTGGCTCAAGCGGCTAAGGCACCAGCCACATACACCTAAGATGGAGGGTTTGAATCCAGCCCAGGCCCGCCAAACAACGACAGCTGCAACCAAAAAATAGCCAGGCATTGTGGCAGGCACCTGTGGTCCCAGCTACTTCGGAGGCAGAGGCAGGAGACTCGCTTGAGCCCAGGAGTTGGAGGTTGCTGCAAGCTGTGATGCCACAGCACTCTACCCAGGGGGACAGCTTGAGGCTCTGTCTAAAAAAAAAAAAAAAAAAGGCCAAAGAGCTTAACTTCTTAAAAAAAAAGATCAAAGGACGTGTCCATCAATTGATAGAAAAGGAAATGCAAATGGATTTTTTAAATAATGTAAAAACATGCTCATCTTCACTCACATGAAGATAAATGCAAGCTAAAACAAGACACCATTTTCCCTTACATGTTTTCAGAAATCAGCATCTGATGAGTCACTGTGAATTGGTGAAGATAACTCGAAACAGGCACATCCAAACTGTGTGGGTGTACACGGGTACACTATATTTTGAGGGCAATTAATTTGACAATATTCATCAGAATGTAAAATATACACATTCTCTAGCAATTCCATTTCTAGAAATTATTCGATATAAATCCTCACTTATGTGAGCAAAACAACACGCATGAAGATACTCCTCTACAGTACTGCTTATAGTAGCAACAGAATGGAAACAACCCGATGGAGGATCGGATGAATAAATTACATGCAATCATCATAAAGGAATAGTATATGCAACCATAAAAAGCAACATGGGTTCATAGGCAACAGTCTCTAAGATATACTGATAAGAATGTTTTTAAAAAGCACTCATTCGTGCATCAAGCAGTTATTGCACCTACTAAATATGAGGCCCTAGGGACAGGAGAGATGGCAGAAAAAACACCTGGCAAAAATACCTTCTCTCAAGGAGCTTATATTCTAGTGAGGAGAGACAGACAACAAGGTAGAAAGATAGATCACTACCTAGCCAAAAAAGAAAGTATGCACTTCAAAATTTGTATCACTTATATACAAAAAGCTCCTCGAAAACAATAAGCAAACAACAAAGTAGGAAAGGGGTATTTACAGAGAAATACAAAATGGTAAATAAGCCTCAGTACCCATAGCTCGATGAATAGGGCGCAGGCCATATACACCAAGGCTGAGAGTTTGAGCCCGGCCCGGGCCTGCTAAACAGCAATGACAACTGCAACCAAAAAAATAGCCTGGCATTGTGGTGGGCACCTGTAGTCTCAAGCTATTCAGGAGTCTGAGGCAAGAGAATCGCTTGAGCCCAAGAGTTTGAGGTTGCTATGAGCTATGATGCCATGACCCTCTACCCAGGGCAACATAGTGAGACTCTGTCTCAAAAAAAAAAAAAGGTAAATAAATATGTGAAAAGATTCTGACTCATTTAACCCTTAAACAAAAGCAACTGAGAATAAAATATAATGTTTAATCATACATGTAAAAACTGCAACCATTTAAAATATCAGTGATGTCTGGTGTGGGGAGGAATACTGGGAAATAGACCTTATAAATGATTTGTGGCCACATATATAAACTGATTGCATAGTATCAAAATGCAATTTGGAGGCTGGGCATAGTAGCTCATGCCTGTAATCCTAGCATTTTGGGAGTCCGAGGCAGGAGGATTACTTAAGGCCAAGAGTTCAAGCCTAGTCTTAGCAACATGGTGCAACCCCATTTCTAAAAAAAAAATAGAAAAATTAGCCAGACATGGTGGCACACGCTTCCAGTCCCAGCTACTCAGGAGGCTGAGGCAGGAGGATCGCTCAAACCCAGGAGTTTGAAACTGCTGTGAGCTGTGATGATGCCACTGCACTCTAGCCTGGGCAACAATCAAGAATGGGCATTGTGGTGGGCACTTGTAGTCCCAGCTACTTGCTGGGAGACTGAGGCAAGAGAATCACTTAAGCTCAGGACTTGGAGGTTGCTGTGAGCTTTGATATTATGGTACTCTACCCAGGGTGACAGCCTGAGGCTCTGTCTCAAAAAAAAAAAAAAAAAGACTCTGTCTCTAAAAGAAAATACAATTTGGAACATACCCTTTAAATTTATAAACATGTGCCTTTGACCTAGCACACTCATTTCTAAGAATTTGGCTATACAAATAATTGACAAATGCAAAATATGGCTTTATGAGGTTGTTTCCTTATTTGTGACTTCCTTGCTTTAGAGTCCTGACTAGATTATGTACTAGCTGTGTGAACACTGTGCCTTAGTTTCTTCATCTGAAAAATGGGGATAATAATGTTACCTAACATGAAGGGTGCCTGGGTAAAATTAAATGAGTTATTTCCATTATAATTTATTATAATGGTACCTGGCACACCATAAGCAAGTGCTCAGTAAGTATTAGCTTGGATTATTAATAGTGTATATAAAGAAAAAGCTAGAAATAAATTTTAGAAGCTGATCAACAAGGTTCTGGTATCCTACAAATGTTAAATAGATAATAAGACAATACTATGAATAACTTGATGCCAAGAAATTTGCAATATAGATCAGGGGACAGCAAATTTTGCCTTGCAGGCCAAATTTAACCACCGTTTTTCAGTGGCTTTCAAGCTAAGAATGGTTTTTACATTTTCAATGGTTGATAAAAACAAAGTCAAAAGAAGAATGGTATGTTGTGAAATCCACCTTTTAGCATCTATAAAGTTTATTGGATCACAGCCACGCTCACTGGTTTACATACTGTCTGCAGCGGCTTTCAACCTAAAACAGCAGATCTGAGTAGTTGCAACAGAGACCACATAGGCCAAAATACTTAAACTACTTCTATCTGACCTTCTACAGCAAAAGTTCACTGACCCCTAATTAAGACAAACTAGACAAATTACTTGAAAATTACGATTTACCAAACCTAACAGAAAAAGAAATAGAAAATCTGAAGGGTACTATATCTTTGAAATAAATGGAATTCATGATTAAAAACCTTCCCACAAAGAAAACTGTATACCCTTATGGCTTAACTAGGGAATTCTTCCAAATATTTAAGAAGGAAATAATGCCAATCTTACTCAAACTCTCCCAGAAAACGCAAGAGTATTTCCCAACTTGTTATATGAGCTCCACATACAATAACATGATACAGAAGCTAGATTACAGAGATATTTCACTTTCTAAGTTTTTCTTTGCTATATTGCTTACATTCTTTACCCCATGAATAGATTAACTTGAGAGGGAAAAAATAGACTAAAAATGGAAAAGCAGAAAAGGATCTGACCTTGACTCCAGTCATAACCCCACAAACTCTGAGATGACAGCAAAAGAACCATAAAAAAACAAGAAACTGTCTCCAAGTCTCTGCTAGCACATTGTAGCTGTAAACAACCTCTTTAGGAAAACTACTGGTGAAACCATTGGCCTTTAGGAAAACTCAGTAATGAAATTTCTTAGGCCAGAGTCCCAGAAATCTTGACTTGCTAAGGAATTGGAGTGATCTCTTTTTATGGAGATGCAAATCATGTAATTAATCACTTTGCCCATTTCAGTGTGGCTTCCAGGAGGCTCATAGTAAAAATGTTTAGCTCCATTCATGTGAAGTAAGGTCAGATACAGACCTGTTTATCTTCATAACAATTTTGCCTGGGTTTTGATTTTCTATTCTCTCTAAATTCCTCAAGTTCTTATTTTCAACTAATTGCCCTTTCCCATTTTGTTGTGGGAAATAAACAATTTACCTGAGATTTAATCATTTTCTATTTCTCTTTGGAGAGCAATAGAGGTGGGGTCAGGGTGGGGTGCAGAAGAGTCTTCAGAGATGAAGCTGGGTTAAAACTATATTCGGTGGCAGAATATGAAAATGTGTTATCTGTTAATTCATGATGACTTGTGTTTCTCACCTAAATAATTCCGTTTCTGGACCTTTGTCCCATGTTAATAATTGATGGGTGTGGGCAGATATTTAACCACAGGAACCTTCAACACAGCTTTGTCCTTAACACTACAGTAAAAATAATGTAAATGCCCAGCACTGAATACTGGGAAAACAAATTATGGAACCTCTAAACAGTGGAAAGACGGGCAACCATTAAAAAGTGAACACTCAGCTCAGCACCTGTGGCTCAAGTGGCTAAGGCACCAGCCACATACACCTAAGGTGGCCGGTTCGAATCCAGCCCAGCCCGCTAAACAACAATGACGGCTACAACCAAAAAATAGC